TACGATCATCCCGAGATCCCCAGCCAGGGAGCCTAACGGGACCTATGTGACCCAGTCCATTGATAAGGGATTTCATTCCCTCATGCCAGGTTTTCGTTTGATCATTCTTGGCTTTTTCCCACCCACCACCTGTCTCGGCGAATATCTCTCGCCGTGGAAACCTATTTGGTGACATGCGTAACAGATGTCCCAACCAACGTAATCTATGGAGGTCGACCACTTGCTCGAGTGGGCGACCGCGGATACCTAAAACTCTGCGCCTAACCTCAGCATTGATCGTCTGGCTGCCCCACCAGACTCGTGCAATGCTGCGTAGACAGGAGTGGTCAAACACCGACAGTCTATCTTTATCCTGCGTCCTTAATGGCCAAGTTTCTGCTCTATATAGCAGAACTAGCCGAACTGTCGCGGCATACACTCGACCCTTAACAGGCAGCCGGATATCGCGACGGCGCCATAAATGTCTCAAGTTGGCAAATGCCAATCGAGCCTTTTGTATGCGAGCTGACACTTCATCTGTGCTGCGTCTTCTGGATGAGGCTAGACAAAGCTATGCTTCACAAGGCTAGCTCTCTGGGCATGTTCTGGCTTCCTCTGTCTCTCCGCTCTCGCCCCTGGAGAGGTCACTCGGAATATGGTTTGTGGTAGTCTTTAGCTTCGCAGTGGGCTGATCACCAGCAAAGTGACGATGACATGTACCGATTTCTTTGTTTCTTTCCGTTCTTTGGAAAACTGGAGGTCGTGATTTGTCAATCGATTTCAACTGTGGACCTCTCAGCTTGTCACATACTGATTACATGACAAATAAGTTTTCCCTTTTCCACATTCAAACCGAATCGAATCCAAAACAATTGAGGTTATCAGCTGATATGCCGGAGTATAGTTCACACATGCGAAAGACTGTCACCGGACTACTGTTCATGAAAGTTATCTCGTTCAATATGGGAGTGTTTAGCACAGTTCCAAAACGTTGGACATATTGATGTTGGATTTTTTTCTACTGTAGTTTGTTTCTCTTTTTTTCACCAACCGTAGCTGTTCACCCCGGTCTACCTGATACACCAAACGACCCGGTGAATGAAGACAATTGGATAAACAAACAAACTGCTGATCATTCGGATTTTCACATCCGGTCTTAAGCCAAAGATATGAAAGTATTTGTACGTGTCTAGCCACGGTTCACAGTGATCAATAACGAGAGTCTTGAAGATATGTTATGATGTACCAAGAGTAGTCGATAAATTAATTGTTATATAAATTACGAAAGGGTAATCATTTGGAAAATGATTGGTTGAATTACAAAGGACAAAAACGAAACGGCATTTTGTTTTCGAGCAAGAAATCACGTATTGGGATGTGACTACCATAGAGTCCTTGAACAAAACTTTGCAATTCATCCTATGATGATGCAGACAGTTTTGAACAATTGTCGAACGAACGCAACAGCAAATTAGTCACTTATTCGGAATTGCCAGAACAGTTGTGCAACAATGTGCGGCGTATTATTTTTTTATGGATACCGCTATGTTTGTGAACTGGTTGGCCCCAACCCTCCGTGGGATATTAACGAGAAAAATGACTAAATTTTGTCCACCTGTTAAATTTCATCCCGC